GGCGGGGCGGTGACCAACGAGACGGAGCTGTTGGCTTGCCTGCGCGCCGCGCCGCCGCCGCAGCTGGTGGAGCACGAGGCGGCCGTGCTGCCGCAGCAGGGCGTGTTCCGCTTCGCCTTCGTGCCCGTGGTGGACGGGGAGTTCCTGGCCGACACCCCCGAGGCGCTGCTGGGCGCGCCGGGCCGCGCCGAGGCCGAGGTGCTGCTGGGCGCCGTGCAGGACGAGGGCACCTATTTCTTGGTGTACGGCGTGCCGGGTTTCGGCAAGGACAACGAGAGCCTGATCAGCCGCGAGGAGTTCCTGGGCGGGGTCCGGCTGGGCGTGCCGCAGGCCAACGAGCTGGCGGCCGAGGCCGTGGTGCTGCAGTACACCGATTGGCTGGACCAGGACAACCCGGTGAAGAACCGCGAGGCGCTGGACGACATCGTGGGCGACCACAACGTGGTGTGCCCGCTGATGCACTTCGCCCAGCGCTGGGCCGAGCGCGGCGGCACCGTCTTCGCTTATCTGTTCGACCACCGCGCCTCCAACCTGCTGTGGCCGCCGTGGATGGGCGTGCCGCACGGCTACGAGATCGAGTTCGTGTTCGGGCAGCCGCTGAACCCCGGGCTCAACTACACGGCCGAGGAGGAGGCGCTGAGCCGGCGCATCATGAGATATTGGGGCAACTTTGCCCGCACCGGGTACGGCCTGGGATGGAGATGGGTTGAGTTGGGTTTGGTTGAGTTTGGTTGAGTTGGGATGAGTTAGAATGGGATTGGATTGAGTTGTGTTGAGTTGGGATGGGTTAGAACGGGATGGGATTGAGTTATGTTGAGTTGGGATGGGTTTGGTTGGGATTGAGTTGGGATGAGTTGAGTTGGATGATCTCGATTGGCATGACTTGAGTTGGGTTGAGATGAATGACCTTGCTCGGGTTGAGTTGGCTTGGGTTGAGTTGGGATGAGGTGAGTTGTGACCACTTGAGTTGGGTTGGGTTGAGTTTGGATGAGTTGAGTTGAGTTGGATTGAGTTGCAATGAGCTGGGTTGGACAATCTCATTGGGATGACCTCGGTTGGGTTGAGTTGAGTTGGCTGACTTTGGTTGGGTTGGATGACCTTGGTTTGGTTGAGTTGGGTTGGGTTGAATTGAGTTGAGATGGCTTGGGTTGCATGACCTCAGTTGGGTTGGGTTGGGTTGGCTTGGATGACCTCGGTTGGGTTGGGTTGAGTTGGATGACCTCAGTTGAGTTGGGTTGGATGACCTCAGTTGAGTTGGGTTGGGTTGGGTTGGATTGGGTTGGGTTGGATGACCACGGTTGGGTTGAGTTCAGTTGGGTTGAGTTGGGTTGGATGACCTCAGCTGAGTCGGGTTGGGTTGGATGACCTCGGTTGTGTCGAGCCACGTTGACTCCGCGCAGGGACCCCAACGAGCCGTCAGAGCGCGAGCGGCGCTGGCCGTCCTACACGGCGGCGGGGCAGAGCTACGCCCGGCTCAACGCGCGGCCGCTCGCCGTGGCCCAGGGCCTGCGCGCCCAGGCCTGCGCCTTCTGGACGCGCTTCCTGCCCAAGCTGCTCAACGTCACCGGTGAGGGGACACCGGGGACACCGGGGGGACACCGGGGGGATTGGGGACATTGTGGGATTTAGGAACACATTGGGGACATTTGGGACATTGGGGACATTGAGAGGATGTTGGGGTGATGGGGACACAGGGACACTGAGGACACCTGGGGACATTGGGGACATTTTGGGACATTGTGGGGATTTGGGAACATTGGGGACACAGAGGGGACACTGGAGACACCTGGGGACATTGGGGACATTGAAGGGACATTGGGGACACTGGGGGGATTGGGGACATCGGGGACATTGTGGGATTTAGGAACACATTGGGGAGATTTGGGACATTGGGAGGATGTTGGGGTGATGGGGACAGCGGGGGACATTGGGGACATTTGGGGACATTGGGGACACAGAGGGGACATTGGAGAGATTTGGGGACATTGTGGGGACATTGGGGACATTGGGGACACAGAGGGGACACTGGGGACAC